AAATGAGAAGGGTTAGAAGAGAAAAAAAAAAGGAAGCAAGGGGAAGAAGTCACATAAAAGTCAGTCTCATTCTTTTATGATGAGATAGCATTTCACAAAAGTTCCAAGATTTGTACTTAATAAAGGAAATAAATCTTAAAAGGAAAAAAAGTTTGAACACTCAAAAAAATTTTATCATTTCAGTATAAAACTCAATCCGATTTTATGATCCTTATGAAATATCAAAAGAAAAATGAAATCCTCCAACAAGAAACTACTAAAGAATTGAACGAAATGAGTTGTAGAATCCTTGAAAATTACCATCAAATAATAGTTAATCAACTGCAATGGAAGCCACACTAGCTCCAGATAAAAGAGTCATAGGAATAACCAACAAAAGAGCCGCATGAATAACAGATAAAAGAGCATGGGAGAACCAAAAGAACCAACATAAAGGAGCAATAAAAAGCAAAGCCACGGAAGAATAATTCATAAGGGAAGGAGTTATAGAATAGTAACAAGAAGCAATTAAAAAATGGAGTTAAAACAGGAAGTCACATAAATTTTGGTCTATAATTTTTATAAACCGAGTATAGGATCTTGGGTTTTAATAAGGCCAAGATCATTGTTCTCATAAATGGATTCCACTAGATGTGTAATTAGAGTACATTGGCATAGCTAAAATGCTCATATAAAGTAAGGATATGACTAAACAAGTTATGACCATAATAACTAAGAAAAAAAACAGGAAAAGCTAAAACGCCTTAATAATAAAATGATTTTGCCCTCATACTTTGTTATCATTTTGTTTCAAAAATCAATCCCATTCTCTTTTTTTTGGGGGGATTTTTAATATGGCAAATATCATTTCCCCTCAAATATAAGCTCCTTAAATATCATTCACCAAGAGCCCACTCAATCACACAAAATCATCCAAAGAGTCACTTCTAAGCATTGCTTAACTATGAAAGCAGGTAGCCAAGAAGCATGGGATCCACAAAATGCATGAGCCTTTGGTTCCCAACTAAATCATTAGCTCTAATATTAGTCATATGGAGAGTTAACTAAAAGAAGGCCAAAGTTGGGCCTGATACACCAACAATCAAACCAATTAAAACTCAAAAGCATAAACAAAAGAGCGGCTAAACATTTGATATTTCTTTAGCAATATTTTCTTACTAAATGATATGGGACTAAGCTTATACTCTTATGTATCTTACATTTATTTCTATAAATTCAAGGATATTTGTAAAATTTTATGCTTTTTTTTTAAATAACGATAAACTTGATCATAATTACATCAATGAAGGCCAACATGCAATTTAGGTGTTTCTTTAAGGAGTGAAGGATCTAATTGTGCAATTTTACAAGTGAGGTTTAGCTTTATTAGAAGAAAGAAAATACTAAACAATACTTCATGTACTAGAAAGGTTGAATGGCCACAAGATCTAATCATTTGAATTCAATTTATTTTGAAAATTTGAAAAGGATACATTTTATAGCTAGTGTATCAATCACTTCTTATTCCATGAAAGTGCACCAAATAAATTTGTTCTTCACTTGTCGGAAGTTCTAACTTATTTTTGGAAATACAGTGCTAAGTGTTGTTATTTTGGCTATAACATTGACTGGGGTCCTTTCAATCATTTTTCTTGCCAAGACAATCACTAGTAGCGACACAACTTCAACGAAACTGTTAGGCATTTTTATGAACTGTTTTACCCATGCATGCATTACGCATTGTTTATACTTATCAGTTCCAATTAGTTGTTTAGGTTACTATGTGTAAATGGGTGTCTATTGATATAGGGAGATGCACTCTAGTTCAACGAGGATTTGCACTAAAAAAGGTTCCCTTGTAAGGAATTTCAATGGCTATTCTATGCTCAATTCATCAGCTAAAGAGATTTAAGTATTTCTCAATTTTCTCTTACCCAAGCCCATCATCCCTAGCTGCCTTCTCAAAGCTCCAATTACAAAACATGTTTTCCAAAATGATGAATTTACTGAATTCCATAATTTGGTTGGACTTGGATGTAATTAAAAATCACTACAACAACAACAAAACCTTTATCCCACTAAGTGAGGTTGGCTACATGAATCATTTTTCTCCATTGCGTCCCATTTAGCGCAAATTTTAATTTAAATCTAATAAATTATGATTATTTTATATACAATATGCCCAAGACTTCCTGGATCGACCTCTGCCTTTCTTAACAAAAGTTGAATCTAAAACATCTACTCTTCTAATCGGATCATCTCTAATCGGAGACGTTTAATGTGACCAAACCAACTAAAAGAAGACTCTCACTAATAGTAATTAAAAATCACTATTAGTTTAAAATTCTAAAATCACCTTCAAAATCCATCAAAAGTGGATTTGAGAAATTCAAGTATTTCTCAATTTTCACTTTCCCAAGCCCATCATCCCTAGCTAACTTGTAAAAGCTCAAGTTACAAAACATGTTTTCTAAAATGGTGAATTTACAGAATTCCATAATTTGGTTGGACTTTGATGTAAATAAAAATTACCATAAGTTCTAAATTCTAAAATCACCATCAAAATCCATCAAAAATTGATTTTCAAACAATAAAAAGAGTGAAAAATGAAAACAATAGTTTCTAAATATAATTCTTAACTACAAGCAAGAGCCAAACATTAGTTCTACCACATGTCTACTCAATTAGTTGTCATTTGCCAAGAGATATTCAAAATACGAATTTTCAATCTCGTTAAAGGGGCAGCCCATCTAGGAATTAGGCTTTGTCAACAATAAAAGAAAGGTTCTTTTGGCCACATACTGAATTCTATAACTTATTTAAATGCAATAAACATTAAGAAAAAGGATATTATAGGTCTGAATAAAAGTTATACAGTTACAAAATGTGATTCACTTTCTAAAATTATTTGATTGAGAAATGTGTTTTGATTGAAAGATAAATGGGTATATTTTTTAGTGATAAACATTCTATAAATCATTGCAGTTTGTCTTGTACTTGAAAGAATATGTTGCATTCTTTAAATCTATGCATTCTGCTTTTATTATTATTCTTTTTAATTTTTATGCAAATAAAATACAGCAAAATCATCGACTGGTAAAAGAAAGAGAGAATTTCTACAAATTCATAGACATATCAAACATAAGCCTTGCTGGTCTAAATTGTGATGATAGGCAATGGTGAACAGAGATTTAGTGAAAAGAGAATAAGCATGGCAATGAGAACCAATTTGGCCTTTGTATTACCATTGTTAATATCACTATCCTCTAAAGTCAATATTTATTTTCATGTGACATTAAAAAACTGCATTTTCATTCTGAACATGTTGGTTCAAAACAATGCTTTCACTGTTCAATGTAATATATTGCTTAGCATTTTAGGTTTAACAAAGTTTCCACGTACCCTAAAAATAGCTTTTTTTAATCCAAATCAAGATTATTCATACAAAAATTTACATTACCTTTGATGGCTATGGTCCTATATGGATGTTTGTGCCAGAAACTTCTGATCTACTAAAATGATAACCTCTAAAACCAAGAAAAGTGAAAGTGTAGTCCAAAAATTTTCCTAAATGTTGTTGAACAATAACGCATCAAATAAGTGTATAAAGTTGATCCAATTTCTTTAAGAAATACAGATTTTATATGTACTTGTTTCCTAGAACAATATTCATGCTTTGTGTTGATCCCTTCCACATGTACTCTTAAAACATAGCAAATTAATCAAGGTTAAGAAACAGAATCAAGTGGATTTGCATACATAACAATTAAACATGAGTATTTACATGTCTCACACAACAATTTATATCAATTAATATAACAAATTTATATTAATGCAACAGAACTGGTCTCTATAAACTCCTTCATAATTCCATCATCTTTCTGCATAGAATTCACACGCACAAAGGAGGGAGCAAGGGTATCATTTCCAAAGGGCTCATGCTTGATATAGAGACTATCACATGCTTGGAGATGTGGAGAGATTCTTAATCTGATGGAGAATGGAGGAGTGTTTCGATGCAAAGGTAAAAGTGTATAGTGCAATGAGGTTGGTGGTGAGGACAGAGACAAGCAAGACGAGGTGGAGACCCGATGAACACACAATAGCATGCAGAAGCAGGCGGTGTCATTGCCAATGTTAAGGGAAACTAATCCTATCACTAGAGATTTCAATATAGTTATTGGCGGAGTATTGATAGTCATCAGCTACCATCAATGACTGTTTGGCTTCATTATAAATTTAAAGTGGAGTTTAGTAGCTGATTATCGATGGGGCTGCTCCCGTTTCACCTAAATCACATCACAATCCACACATGCCCATATTAACCTAAACCTCAAAATGCCCTGCTCTCAAATTGTCATCTCTGCACACCATTGGCAAATTACGCTTTCAATTCCCATTCCTCTTCTTTGTCCTGTTAGAAGTTGGCAGCTCCCTTAATGAAATCAAGTATATTGCCTACAGCACACCCCCATGATCATATATAGCAAGATCAATATCTGCCTAATCACTCGCAATCACAAAAATTCTGAGTGGCTCACAACCATTAATCAGGCCTACGTTGCACAAAAGATCAAAGTTTCCCTCTCTTTCTATATCCTATCTTCAAATCATAAACAGTGTTATCTGCTTGCTTGTTTTACAAATGAACTTATGGTTTCTGAGCAAGAAGCATGTGTTCAAAACATTTTGGATTTGATTTTCTCGACTCTTCTGGCAGACAAGAATACAAAGTTAATCCATGTTGTTTAGGTAACATGTGATTCATATGCACGATTGCTCCATCTTCGTTGATTGCTTGGTTTTGTTATAGATTGAAAGTGTAGTGTAGTAGCTGGTTGTGTTACTTTTGTTTCATTAATAAAAATTTAGCCGTTATATTAGTAAATATGGAGTTCAGTGAAAAATATGTAGCAACTAAAGTTTAAAATGCTAATAAATGTAAAACATCCAAGAATTTAAATTTAATCATGTGCCATCCTAAAACCAGCTCATAATTACCAACAATGGTTGAAATTTTGAACCTGTTTAAAAATAAGAAATATGGCATCAAAAATTTGTTACACTCACGAAGCGCAATTAAATTACTGACTAGCCCAGACAAGATGTCACGAATCCGCTTTTTGGACGACCAGGAGTCAGAACCAGAGAAACAATACATATAGACATGAAGAAAATGAGATAAGAGGAAGTACGAGGCTGGGACGTAGCTAAGGCTTGAAAGTGTACGGCTGTGGGAGCGAAATGGGACCTCGGCGAGATTCGTCGTTGTCGAGAAGCCTCTGTACTCTTTTCTTGGCGCAGTACTGACGATCAAAGTGCTTCACCTGATAAAATCTATCAGAAATTAGGATTTTTTTATGGTTTCGGAAAGAGAAAAGGAGAGGCAATAAGGATACCCAAGTGGGGCGGCAACTCTTGACGAATTCGTCTCTGGAATTCTTGCATTCGGCGGGGTATAGAAGGCCGACGGTCGCCACCTCCGTTGGCTTCTTGTCCGCTTCCTTTTCCAAGCAGGTATAGAAAGCGTCCCGAGCCTAGCCATGGATAACAATCATGAGATATAGAGAGAGAGAAGAAGAAGAAAAAGAAGAGGGTAGGGGGACTAGTACCTTATAGCAGGATTCCCTGCCCTTGGCTAGGACGTCTTCCATTACCACCATAAGGGAAGGCGGAGCTTGACGAGGTGTGAGACTGGAAAGGCCAAAAACAAGCTAGGGATGCGACTTCAGCGTACCGTATCGTGGACCAGATCTTCTAAGAAGGTCGTTGAGGTTGCAAGCAGTGTCAACTACAAAACCGTCACTTGAAAGGAAAGAAAAAGAAAAAAAAAAAAAGGAAAGTGAAGGTCTAGAGGAGATCCTCGCAGCGCAAGTGCTGCTATTCCTTTTTATATCTCTACCATTCTCCTGCATTGGTCATCTTGGATGAGGAGAAATCCCTCAATTCCTTGACTTTATAGGCTTTCCCCCACATCCCCCCGCGGGATGATTAATGCAAAGAGTTTTGAGTTCGATTATGCTTTGTCTATTGCAAAGAGTTTTGAGTTTGATTATGTTTCGTCTATTTTTTATGATGACACCTTCAAAAACAATCAATTCAATTTCGATTCCATAGACAATTCTCAAATCGTACATGACCTCGATGGGTCTTACAAAAATCAAAATGACAACAACAATGATAGTAGCGACAACAAAATTGAAGATAACACTGTTATTCTTGAGTTGTGAGGAGCACCGATTTTCATAGAGTTGGAATCATCAGATTTAGAGACAAAGAGTCAAATGAAGCACTCTCAGAAGAGCATTCGGCACAAACATAAGAAGAAATAATTGAAGTTAACATGTGGAACGGAAGAGTTCTACCCTCAAGAGTGGCTCCCAAAGAAAAGGGAAAACAAGTGGTCATGTCTGAGGAAACCATTCAACTGGCATAAGAAAGACCAAGTCAATAGAACGTCGGCAATTTTCATAACAATGTGGACTACAATGACCTAGCCCATTTGAGGAAACTGCTAGCACAATTGAGCATTTACGATGCCCTGCTCCTCTTCAAAAAAATGAGAGAAGCATTAGTAAAGAACTCTTAGATCTCAAGATCTGTTTGGTTCAACTTGCTAGTACTTCCTCAGACGAGGTTTATTCGTTGGAAAGACTGACCAAAGTCACATTCTCTGATGATTTTCTGTTGTTGGGAACTACCGAACATAGTTGCCCTCTGTACATCTCGGTGAACAATGACAACGCCACACTCTTAAGGGTGTTTATTGACCCCGGTGCTTCAATAAACATCATGAATCTGAGGACATTTTCTTATCTAGACATCGATGCTCGTACGCTCATGCCAGACAAGATGATGGTAAGTGGCTTCAATCAATAAGGAGAAAGAGTTGTGGGTTCAATTATGCTCCTCATGAAAATCAATAATTTGGTGACAACAACAAAATTCCATGTCATAGATTCTGAGACATCCTTCAATTTTTTTCTTTATCGACCGTGGCTCCATAAATACAAGATGGTTCTCTACTTGTTGCACAAGTGCATTAAGTACCCGCACGAGGGACAAGAATGTTGTGTCAAAGGTGATCTACAACCGTTCTCGTTACATGAAATTAGCATACATGAAGATGTTGCATATTATGGCCCACTGAAGAAGATATTTTTCTACAGGGACATGGTAGTAAATACAAAAGAAAAGGAGATAAATGTGAGAATTAAAGAAGAAAATGAGGAAGAAGAAAAGAAAATCAATGAATATCATGTTGCAATGCAGCCGATGGGTAGAGATTCCCACAAAACTTGCATTTGAGATCGAGTTCAAGAACGAGGAAGAGGGAGAGAAAACAAAATCATCAAAATAAATAAAGCCTTGATGATCAACATCATCTTGGACTCCAGTTTTGAGGAAGAAAAGTAGAAAAAGTCAACAGTGGTAGTGACTCAAAAAGAGCCACAATTCAAAATTTTCCTCAAGAATGAAGAAGAAAAGAAATAATATGAGTCCATGTATGAAATAATCAATCACTATGTACAGGCTATGACCCTAACTTTGATTTCCTCAAATATCAAGAGTTTGGTGGTCAAAGAAGTCCATCGTGAGGATATGAATTACATTAAGTTTCAGCTTGGTTCTTCTTCTTCTAGTTTTGAAACAAATGTAAAATCACAAGAAGATATTTTCTTAAAATTAATGGAACTTCCAGTTGAATGTTATTCCCCATATGTTCAAAAGCTCTTTCAACATGGTTTAATACTGAAACAAGCGTCGACAGACTGATCCCACCTCTTTGAACAATTATGGAATAATCAACAACAAAACTCCAATTCAAAAGAAAGTGTTGGATTCGGTACGCTAGGATCTCTGGATGACACATAATTTTGCCTTTTTGTCACTGATCCACTAAAAAATAGCTTATTTTTAGTATACATTTCTTGTTCATTTTATGCCTATTTTTTAGGACATTGCACTTTAAGTGAAGTTATTTTGCATGTTTTGGATTTCAAGTACATAAAATGAACATTTGGAGAAAATGAGGAGAAAATTGAGCAAAAACGGATGTTTTTGTATGGCGTCATAGTGCCAGTAAATGGGTTGAATGGGGCTATAGAGCAAATAGCCAACTTTCTAGATTATCCAGTGAATTTGACATAACTTTGAGGGGGTGATTGTAGTGACCCTCGGTGATTTTTACTTATTTATTAATAAGGCTGAATTATGGATGAAAAGAGAGTCCTTTCAGAGACTTTGTGGAGCACTTTGTTTAATTTTGGAGGGGTCGGTTTAGTCTTGTGTGTGTGCGTGTGTATGTGAGTGAGAGTCTTTGTTTTGTGTGAGTGTTTAGAGATTTACTGCAATAAAACATCAGTATTTGCTAAGGGAGAAGACATAAAGACAAGTATCTTGTATTTGTTCTTAAGTTTTTGTTGTAAGGCTTAGATTTCAATACAAATTATGTGTTTTTGTTTTATCTCCATGAATTCTGAGTAGTTCACTTTTCTTTCTCCATGCATATAAGAAACCCTAAACCCTAAACCCTAAACCCTAGAAATTTTTTAGAGGTAACGCCAAAGGCGCTCTTTAAGGGATTCATCTTAAGGTCATATCGTTGTAATCGTTTGAACATGATCCTCAAATCAAACAAGTGGTCTACAAATCAAACAAGTGGTCTATTTTGGTCTATTTTTCCTTTTCTTTTGTTGACCAAATCATCCATGTAACCTTCCACTTAGTTGTGAATGAGATCTTCAAAAACCTTTGTCATAGCTTGTTGGTATGTTAATTTTGTAGGATGAGAATGATTTATAGATCTTTTTTTATTTTTAAAAAATTGTGATGGTATTTTTATTGATTCTTCATTGGCTTTACAAAATGTCCATTTGTATAGTTAAAATCTGTTGAGAAACATAATGACCCGGGAGGGCTATGATTTCACCAATTAGTGAGTACCACATTTCAACTTTGGTAGAGCCGTTGCAATCAGTTGAGGAGAGTGCAAATAAATAGGGAGATAAGTTTTGATGGGCATAGAATTGATGTTTCTACGGTGACACACTAGATTCTCTTATCAATTTAGTCTAGAGTTTTGATCGTAAGGGTCCCTAATAGGTCTTATAGAGTGGGCACAGTGTGTAATCTAGAATTGGGAGCCTATAATCTACCCAACACTACTACACAAGTTGGTGAGAGACTTCAGATTAGCCAATGTTCTTTGCAAGCACTGAGAGGGGTTAAAGAATAGAAATGCTCCTATTTGGCACCATACAACATTTTATCTTTTTCTTCTTTCAATTCCTACATTGATTAACATCTCTTTGCAAGGGGAAATTTTTATAATATTTCAAACTCTCTTTTAAAATCTTTTTAACTGTGTTAGTTCTTAAACTTTATCAATTTCTTAATCTCTGTTTTTATTTTCTGCATAAATTTAGTGTTAAACTGCTACCAACATTTCAAAACTGTTTTCCTATTGTAATATCTACAAATTAGATAGAAGTTTTGCAAGTCAGTATTATAAGAATTTCAACATTCCTCGTGAGATCGATACTGGAGTTTTTAAGAAAAATTCTATATTACTTGAAACGATATGTATACTTGCATAGAACCTCTAGTGTTAAGTTTTATTATTTATTTTCATTTATTCAAACTAGTTGTTGAATATAATTTAGGTCAAGTTTTTGACAATCATTTGGAGTTAACAAAATCTGCGTAATTGTGGGTTAGGTCAAGTTTTTAGCTTCGTTGTCGGGGAATCAACGAAATTTTTGACTTAAGAAACTTTATCTGAACTGTAGATTTATTTTATGAAAATTAAAACAAAATTTTTAGCACTTATTTATTTTCAAAAACTTTCAAAATATAGGAAAAAAATTGAAAAAACTCAAAAATAATCAAAAAATTTGAAAAACTGAAAATTTTAAAAAATGAAAAAACTGAAAAATTTAAAATTTTTTAGTATTTATTTTGTTTAAGTTGTTTCTTTTTCTGAAAATTTATCTTTTGCATGCCTAAGTCAAGATCCAAAGGTTTAGTACCCTACAATTCTAAATTAGAATGAAAAATTAGAAGAATTAGAAAACAAAAAGGACTTTACAATTTAGAAGAAATGGAAAACACTTCCCATAATAATTTTGAAAATCAAAATGTAGTAAATGGACATCAAAATGTACAAAAACCATTAAGGGATTATGAAAAACCTACAACATATGAAATTCACTTAAGCATACAAACCCTATTGTAGCGGCTAACTCATTTAAATTTAAAACTGCTATTATACAAATTGTGCAAATAATCAGTTTGGGGGACACCATCTTAGGATCAAAATTTACATTTAACAAGTTTTCTAGAACTCTACGCTATATTTAAATAAGATGGCATGTCAAACAACATTGTCAGACTTAGACTCTCCATGTTTTTAAGGGATAAAGCTAGCACTAGGATCTATTAGAACTTGGGGGGATTTAGCACAGAAATTCTTGACTAAATATTTTCCTCCTTAAAAAACTACTAAGTTTAGAAATGACATTACTTTTTTCACTCAATATGAAGCTTGAGAAAGATTTGAGGAACTCCTTAGAAAGTGTCTGCATCATGCATTACCTGAATAGTTAATCATTCAAACATTTTGTAACGGGTTAGTAGGATCCCTTAGATCTATCATAGATGCTGTTGTTGAAGGGTCATTAATGTCTAAACCATTTGATGAAGCTTATGCCTTAATTGAAGCGATGACTACTAACAATTTTCAATGGCCCTCATAGAGAGTAAATCCAAAAAAAAGTAGCCAGTATTTATGATAATGATGTTATTTCAATAGTTGCATCTCAAGTGGCTGAATTATCTAGAAAAATATACCAGATTGGAATGAACTTTTCTCAAACACCTCAAATGATTGAAGAAAATTCATTAGGACAAATTATTGATTCTCAAAATTCATTGGAAACTA